GAAAGGGTAAATTGTGGCTTACCCAACAACCACCCTTACCTGAAATAAAAAATATATATTTTCATCAATATAGACCAAGTTTGGTGAAACAATGAAAATTTTTTACTCCATATTTCTCTGCATTGTTCTCACCGCAAAAGGTGAGGGTAACTCTTCATAATATAACTGGGTATTAGGTATATTCATTATTGATGCAATGCATTTAAAACATTATCATCCTCTATCTTGGGTAAGAGATTCGTATGCGAGCATTCATCATCAGTAGAACTAAGTTCCATTAATCCATTCGACTATTACATACAATATCAGAACATCCTGCAACTTAAATTAGCAGGAACATTGGAAATAGAGCTGTTACAAAATATCTTATTAGTGCTAGCATAACATGTATACAAATTAGACTAAAGAAGCCAATTGGAAGCACAACATAGCTTGCATATAAAATCAACATCCAACCCCCTTCAGGCTCCAATACCATACTCCTCCAACATTTTTTTATTCCTGCACAAAGGCAAATACAAGGTGAGATTTTATCCGAAGAATAATGCAAGATTAGAATTGGAGTGCAATGGAGATAAAAAGATGATCGCATTTAAGGTATACCATCGCCATGTGAAATGTGGTTTACCTATACAACATCAAGTGATTGCCATTGAATTTAGGATTGCTTTAATGCGTAGCTGAGATTTGTCACCTACAAAAACTCTTTAGGAGATTTTTGGAAGTATACTTCATTAAGTCATGCTTTTGGTTCACTAACTACAAAAACCCTTTTGAGTTATATATATGTTTTCATTTTGTATGTTTTGGCATATAGGTGTGAGCATAAATTAAATAGTGATGATATTGATTGAATGTTTATGATCAAATTAGGACAAATATGCTGATGGGCAACTTGAATTGTCTGAAGTTTTTTCATTGTTTTTGTTGGATGCATAATCTTGTAGCTAGAAAGATGGATAGAAGTTCTTAAAAACAGGCCCCCAAAATTCAAACTACCTAATGACATCGAAATTCCAGGCAATATGTAATTTATACTGATAGAATGAAATTGCCTTATTTTTGTTGAATTGCTTGATCATCGACCAAAATGACTAATTTAAGCAGCATATTCGCTTAAAATAACATTATATTTATTGTAGCTGCATAGGAAAGGTTAAGGAATCTAACCAATTCTTACTATAGAGAAAGGCAAGAATTATTCTCAATATGCTAGATTTGTGTACTAGGATTATCTCATTCTTTTACAGCAGAGACCTCTCTAGAACTTGTTAATGGAGAAGTTTGTGTTTGCTATAACATTGAACTCTGTTCTAAAATTGTACTTTTATTGTTCTTGATAGTTGTTGTTTAAGATTGATGCTTGACGAAAGTTGATTAAATTACAAGAGTGACCATATCACTTTAATTGCTAATGTGATTTTTTTTTGTATAATTTATTCTTCTAGTAAGCTATGGAAGACTTTTTTTTTCTTTTTAGGGTTTAGGGTTTAGGGTTTAGGGTTTAGGGT